CCCCCCCCCACGTCACCACCTGTCCGGGTCTGCTCCTGAGCCATAAGCTAGGAACCTTAGTTAAAAATCCTTCATATCCTGAGTCTCAGTGGCTGAGAGTCCAACTGCCAGAAGTCTGTGTTCTGGTACTGTTGGTTACCACGGCAACACAGGGACTCATGTTATAATCAGAAATGTTCAACGAGAGGAAAAAGGGGTAAAAGCCCTGGCGCTGGCCCCTTGCTATGTGAGTGCCATCTCTCCACACCCGTAGGGCTGAAGAGGATCCCTGTGGAGGGAAGAGGTCACTGCCCCTTGTCATGTGGGTGCCTGAGGCGGTTCCTGTCTGAGGAATGTAGATCCTGTCGAGAGGCGAACATAAAGTGCTTATTATAGGACAGCATGGTAAGTGCTGCATCAGAGCTTAAAAATAATATCAGGAGAATGGGAGAAGGAACAGAGACTCCTCACTCAGCCAAGGTCCAGCTGAGGGGGCACAGAGGTTCCTTGTGGGAGGGCAGTGGAAGTGACTGGGGTAAAAAGCAGGTGGGACTGAGAGAGGACAGCCTACCTGAGCAAGGACACTGAGTGGGAAACAGCCAGTGTTGGGGAAGAGCAACTGTGACCTGGCCAATGGGATGGTGGAAGGCCATCTTCTCTGGGAAGGGACTTCTGGCCTTATGGAATGGTGATGTTTCCTAAGGAAGCATTCTTCCAAGTTATTCAGAATAGACTGAAATATTTGACATGGTTTAAACAGCTGAAATTTCCAGTTGAGCTTGCTGGTGGGGTTTACTCGTCTTCTTTTTTGAGAAGGAAGTATGTTGCTCCAGGTGGAGAGATGAGCAAGAAGAGATGAAATAGCAGCAGTGGTTCAGACAGTACTTCAGAGATGATGGAGGGAGGCAGTGAGAGGAGGGAACAGCATGGGAGTCAGTTTCCCCCACCACCCAGCCCCTGCAAATAAAATGGGCAGGGAATTCATTCAGGGGGACAGTTTCAAAGTAGAAAAGGTGAACAATTCTGTCAAGAGTGACGGGTTCATGGGCAGAGGGGCAGGTTGCAGGGTGTATGTTATTCCCTGATGTTGAAGGAGAAAGTGAAGATGGAGATTGGCATAGTGTCTGGTTGAGCAGCTTCATTTATTTTCTGGTTTGTTTCCCAGCTACGAGTCTGCCTTCTGCTGGGATTGTCTGCATTTTTTATACCTTTTTTGTTCACTGGATTTCTGCCCTTTCTCTTTGGCGCCAAATTAACAGCCTCTTGGGTACCAGGTGGTGTCTTGGTCCTTCTAGAGCTGGAGCTATGGTTTTCCTTCCTCGAGGTACCTCTTTGGCACTCCAAGTTCCTTTCCCTGGGTGCCCTCCCCTAGACTTCAGTGACCCTTCCCTGATAGCATAATGGAATTACTTGGGGACTCAACAGTTCCAGTCTGGCCACTTTGCTCCACTCTGTTCTTAGCAGGTACTTGGAAAGTGGAGGTGGTGGATCTTTCATTATCTGCAAATGTGTGATTTTGAGGACAAGTGTGAGACAAGAAGGATCTCCCTATGCATGAACCAAATTAAAAAAGTTCCTAAGAACAAAATCATCTTGGCAGATGTAGTTACACTTCCGGTCTGGTCAGAACTTCACAGCCAGGGACCCCTACTTGCAGTCATTGTCGTGATGGCAGGAACAGTGAGTGTGACTTCAGTTTGCTTTTGGTCACTTTCTAAAATATTTCAATTTTTAAATAGCATTAAAAGAAATCATATTGTTTTTATAATTGTCCAAATAGAGCATAAATCTAAATGTGTATGCACATACACCCACACTCACATATATGCACACTTACACCACACACATAGTACACACCACACACACACCGAGTTGACCCGTGAACAACTTAGGGACTAAGAGCACTGACCACCTCCCCACACCATACACTGTAAAAATTTCGATATCACATTTGACTTGCACAGAACTTTATTAATGGTCCTCTGTTGCCCAGAAGTCTTACAGTAACATGAGCTGTGATTCACACATATTTATATTTCCTGTTCATGAAGTAAAAGGTCATCATAAAGTCTTCACCCTTGTGCTCTTCAAGCTGAGCATGAGACGGAGGAGCAGGGGGAGGAGTAGGAGCAAGAGAAGGAAGACCGTGTCTTACTGTCTCTGGGGTGTCAGAGGAGCAGGCAAGTAGTGGGAAGAGCAGGAAAAGGCAGTGTCTGTGATACCTTTTGCTTTTTCAGTCCCTGAAAGTGCTCCTGTATGGACCCAACCCTTCTTCCAGTGCCTGTTGTAGTTTCTGTGCCCACATCTCAAAGCTGTTCTGAGCAACCTCCCTCCCGCAGATGGTCTCATGTCTGTTGGTTTCTGCCCCTGCCCCTTCCATCTCTCCTTCCTCCTCATCTGGCTCTGGTTCTCAAACTCAGGTCTCCATAACCTGTTTGGTGAGGTGTCCATGTGCAGAGGTGGAACCACTCGGTTCAGACCTGTCTTGTCAAAGGGCCAGCTGTTTATACTTATTTTAACTGGGTAGTCCCTAGGAAAACAGGGAGTTCCAGGTTTCCTGCCCCTCCCAGAAAGAAGTAGGGTGGAGCTAAAGAGAAAAAGAAGAGAAGGAGTATGAAGAGAAGGAGTATGAAGAGAAGAGAAGAATGAAGCAGAATGGAGAGCCAGAAGGGACCTGAGGAAGCCACATGGAGCAGCAAGCATGTGATGAAGAAACCGTGTTTGTTTCTTGACCCTGGACTGGCTAAGGCAGATGTGGGTGAGATGCCTGTAGGGAGGTGACTATGACAGCGTTTACATTGATTTTGATTTTGCTCTTTTCCTCCCAGACTTGTCTGGCCATTTCTGACGCTTTCCTATGGGTCCTGGCCAGAAGGTGCTTTAGTCTAGTGGCAGGCTTTCAGGCCTTGCTTTGAGCCAATCCCTTTTGGGTTGACTTTTGCCCACGAGGGGATGGGTAGCTTCAGGTGTTTGATTTAGACATTACATTCGTTGTCTTTTGTATTGTATACTCACTGTATTAAAGTCCCTTTTCATTGAAGTCTTACATGTTTTGTCTTGATGCAGAAGATGGCAGAACCTATTTAGAGCAGCCAGGCTTGGGGGTTCAGTGTTGCCCTTCTTTCTGCCCTGTAACAATATGTGTGTAAATTTGATATTAAATATACTGCTCAGTTGTGAAAGTCCCTGGTACTCACTTCTTGCCTCTCCCAGAAAAAGGATCATCACTATTAATAGTCATGTGTTTTGGTTTACACAGGGGTTCTCTTTGCTGAAGTATTGTGAATTAGCCACAATACATGTCATCCTGGGGATGCCCTGCCAAGCAGTGCAGTTCATTCTAATGTAACTTTGGGTCATCTCTAATAACAGAGCAGGAGATTAACATTTGGATGTTCCTTTCTTTAAGGCCTTAATTTGACCTGCTGGTCTTGCTTCTAGGATCACAGTTATATTATCTAAATAGTAGAAGCTAGCTCATCATTACCTTTCTCCTTGAGCAAAAACATCCATAATGGCGTTTCTGGAGGTCCAAAAATAATGATAAATATGTCATAAATTCACAGTGATTTAGGCCTGAAACTACTAATAATGATAACTTTAGAAACTGGAACACTCCCTAAAACCCATTTGACTTGATGGGATATGTAACCTAAATTTTATAGAGTAGGAAGTTTCTAATTTGGAAGTCAAGCTACAGTGATGGTTGATTTTAATGTCAGTTTGACTGGTCTGGGCCATGGGCTACCAGGTTATTTGGTGGAATTTTATCCTGGGTGTGTCTGTAAGGTGCTTCTGGGTAAGATTAAATAGCATTTGCACGCAAAGAAGGTTGTCTTCACTAAGGTGGGTGGGTCTCATGCAACCCTTGGAAAGCCTAGATTGAGCTACTGTTCAAAATGGGTTAAAGGGAATCTGTCTCTCTCCCAAGTGTCTTGAGCTGGGAGGGGGCTCCTCTCCTGCCTCCAGGCTCAGACTATACTTTACTTCATCAGCTCCCCTGCTTCTCAGGCCTTTGAATATGGACTGGGCCTGCAGTCCTGGCTCTCCTGGTTCTCCAGCTTGCAGGCAGCAGAGTTTGG